GAGACCCGGGTTTCCAAGGCGGGGGGCAGAGGTGCCCTGTGACCCTCAAAATCGCTGTGCTGACATCCCTCACCGCCACGGACACCGCGTCCCTGGGAGGGGGCAGCAGGAAAAAGGCCCTTTGCGAACATGGGGGGGGGTCCCAGATTTTGGGGAGACCCCCTGATCCCAGCAGGCAGAGACTGCAAGACGCGCACCTCGCATCCCTGAGGCTGCAGCCTTGGGAGACACCTGGGCTTCCCGGGTGTCCGCTGTACCACCACGGCCACTGGCACAGCTGGGAGGGGATCCCTGGGGAGAAGCCATCCAGCCTCCAGGGCAGCTCGCGCTCCTTGGCCTGTGCCTTTTGCACAAAGTAGCTGTGTCCCAGCTGTGCGCTGGCTTCTGCAGAGTCCCCGATAATCTATATTAATAGGACTGAAATTAAAAGCAAGCCCTTGCCTTGCAACGTGGTTCCCTAAGCTCGGCAGCGGAAGCCAAAACCGTTTTGAGTCTGCCTGTCCACTGCAGCCCAAACCCAACAGAAACCCCACTGCTCAAATGCTTCGGCCGAGCAGAGAGGCTCTGCGCCGCGTTTCCCCCAGGCGTACCACGGGACATCTCCAGCTCTTCATTATGGAGATGCTCAACTCAAACCAGGCAGAGGCTTTGCTGGAAGCAGCTGGCCGAAGGGTGAGGTGGGAATGCTGTGAGCACTCTGTGAGGTCTTACAGCTCCAGGACATCTTTGAAGGGCCCAGAAATACAAAAGTCCCCATGTTGAAAGCTACATCCCCATGAACTGGGGGACATGAATGAGAGAGGGGACATAAATGAAGAGGGGAGAGGTTTGGTTTTGCTAAATAGGTGTCCAAAAATGCTCCAGTGTTCAGGATGAACAGGGTTTGGATCTGGCCAAACAAGCTGGGTATGCAGCAAAAGCAGCTGCTTCTGCTCCAGACCCGGGCAGAGTGATGGTGCTGCATGCAACCATCAGTACAGAGGCTGATGAAGCAGAATGACCAGCTGGGTGGCTTACATCGCGCTCGCCTTTGGGTCACACCTATGCAGAGTCAGGTTAGCAGCAAGGGAACAAAGGGCAGAGGAGTGGGATGGGGGAACGTGCTTGACCCCCCTCTAGCACCATTTCATTCTGCCCGAGTCTGAATCTATTTTCTTGGCAGAATCGACAAATCGGTTCTGCAACTCAAGAGCTCAGTGCAGGAGCCAGAGGCAAATGTATGGGGGAGATAAAAAAAAAGCATTTAAAGCCCACCCTTGGTCACCCGTTAGGAGTAGCACCCTAAAAAGTCAGCAGCCATCCCTCATCCTTTTTGAGGCACCTTCTGAGGGGCAGGCTGGAGGTAGAGGATGGACATTGCCCCATCGCATGCAGCCACAGAATCACAGAATGGTTTGGGTTGGAAGGGACAGTTAAAAGGTCATCTGGTCCAACACACCCTCTGGCAATGAGTGGGGACATCTTCAACTAGATGGGGTTGCTCAGAGCTCCGTCCAACCTGACCTTGAATGTTTCCAGGCTGAGAGAGTTGGGGTTGTTCAGCCTGGAGAAGAGAAGACTCTGGGAAGACCTGATTGCAGCCTTCCAGTACCTAAAGGGGGCCTACAGGAGAGCTGGGGAGGGACTTTTTACAAGGGCATATAGTGATAGGATGAGGGGGAATGGCTTAAAACTGGAAGAAGGTAGATTTAGATTAGATATTAGGAAGAAATGTTTCACTTTGAGGGTGGTGAAACACTGGAACAGGTTGCCCAGAGAAGTTGTGGAAGCTCCATCCCTGGAGGTGTTCAAGGCCAGGGTGGATGGGGTTTTGAGCAACCTGGTCTAGTGGGAGGTGTCCCTGCCCATGGCAGGGGGGTTGGAACTCAATGATCTTCAAGGTCCCTTCCAACCCAAAGCATTCTATGATTCTATGGTGCAGCTCTGTTGTGGGAAGATGAGCTGCAGCACCAGCACAGCTGGACCCTCAGCCCTCCAGTTTGTAGTGGTTCCCCTCCCGCTGTCTGCCAGGTTAGGGCAGGCAATGAAACATCCTCCAAACGAAGCACCTCTTGGTCTGTATGGGCTTTTTTTTCACACAGGTTTGCACAGAGAGTCCCCCCAGCAAAGCCTCTGGCCTTGGGTTTTACCTGGAGGGACTGGAGTTGTGCAGGGGCAGTGGAAGTTCTCTGGGAGTTGATTAAGCGTGTTTAACACTTGGATATGCCCTCCTTAATTATTTCACACTAGCTGGGTAACCAGCCTCCCCGTGCAGAATGGCTTAGCTGTGTTACACCTGCGCAGCTGGCGGCGGCATTTGGCTCTATAGGTAGGTGTTTGCTTGAACTGTTTAATTAATGTTTGCAGTAACTTGATAGAACCGTAATGTGCTGCGCTCACATGCCATGTTACAGGTCAGCATCTCCATGGTGGAAATTTGGATGGCTTCTGCGCCGTGCTGTGGTCCCTGGCAGGGAGGGAGGGGGCAGGGTGGAAGCCATCCCCAGGGGCACTGGTATCCTCCTCATGGTGTTGTGTTTGTCAAACACATCCTTCTCTGTAAGCCCCAGGAGATCCTGAGGGCAAACTCCAGGTGCCCCGTGTGTGGGAAGCTCCAGCCCACTCAGCTCTGGGTACCATCATCTTCATGGCTTTGAGTTTGCATCCCCCTTTCGTACCACAGGCAGTGGTGGATTAAGGCCCATGTTCCTTATCATAACACAAAATTATCTACTTATTCCCAATTTATTCAGCCTCTAGATGTGATGGGGGTGGATCTTATTATTCAGCCGTTGGGTTATTTTCCACAGATAACCTCAGGGATGTATCTAATACCATCTCAACCACCCAGAGGCTTCATCAGCTTCTTCGCTTTCCTCATGTCCTGCATCCTTGTCCCAGAGAGGGGCTGTAGGTAGTGGTATGTGGCCGTCAGCAGAGCTGTCCGGGCTCGTAGGTCTACCAGCCACCCAGATGCCTGATGCTGTGCCAGTTATCCGAATCCAGGATTCAGCCCATATCACCTCAGCTGAGGCTCTCAGGATGACCCAGAGGGAATGTGGCACCCCGACATTTTGAGCGAGCAGCCAGGAGTCGTGATGTTTCTCCAAAGGAACTGGCCTTCGGCTGCTGGAGCAAGGGCTGGAGCCCTTGGCTCTCCCAGCCACTGGGTGTGTGTCCCATGTCTCCAGCAACATGAAAGATTGGGTATGCAGCTCATGAGGCCAGAAGGGCATCTGTCCTTATGCTAACAGGGACCACATCTGGCTACATGGCTTTCTTGGTACCTCCTCACCTGGTCTTTAGCCAGGCAGGTGGCTGGGCAAAGCAGGCAGCTGTGCCTGGCCCCGTTACCCTCTCCTGTCCCCCAGACATGGGTCCACTCCAGATCCTTTGGGGTGGTCCTCCTTCCCCCTCCTTATCCAGGAGGTGTGGGATTTCTGGCTGAGGACCAGAGCTGCTTCAGGGGACGTTTCAGCTGGAGCCATGTGTCACATCAGTTATCGTGCAAGGGTGCTTGCATAGTTCCCCATCCAGGGAAGTCTGAGGGAACTTCTTCAGCCGCGTCCTATCTGATTTCCCAGAGTCGATGGAGGGAGAGTGAATAATTTATCTTCTGTCCTCCAGCTCCCTCCTTGTTCAGGTTTCACCTCGGCTCTGCTTCGCCCTTAG